TTTCGACAGTTGACAAATTTGCATGATAGCCACACATTACCCACATTCATGTGGCGTGTCTGACATATCCATTCTCGGTGATGTTATGCTAATTAGTGTATCATGAAACCACGAGTGCTGTGAACAATTAAGCATGCGTGTGCAGAAGGCAACCTGAAGCTGTTGCCGCAGCAGCTTAACATGCATGATGATCCGTTTAAGGAAGTTTATTTATGGTTTTCTGCTCACTGCCGTTTGTTTATTTATTTTTACGGAGGCGATGAAATTGTCATGCTAAAGTAGTGTTCCAGCTGCCAGCAAATAAACAGACACACAGCAGCAAGACTTATATAACTTATTCATCCTCACTGTGTAGCACAAATGGAGATACCTGCTTGTGTGAATTTACCAAAATCTAGTAGATTGCATGTTTTACACCCAATTTTGACTTTTGTTCTTGCAAGCTTAGAGTTTCCAGATGACAACATGTAGTTGCTGGGTTTCTGGGTCAGTGTGTGTGTGTGTGTGTGTGTGTGTGTGTGTTGTGTGTTGCCCAACCATCATATTCTCCTTCTGATTCATTTGTTTATTTCCATTTGTCTGTCTCCATGTGTGCATTGGTGTGTATGTGAGTAATCAGTCATACTAAACAATTGCTTTATTTACATTTATCTGTTTGTTGTGCGTGCGTGTGTGTGTGTGTTTTCTAGGTATTACTTACAGTATGAGAACCTACTTGTGTTTCTACAGTCACGTTATCTGGACTGTAGTTCCTTATGGGGACAAAAGTCAAGTCCCCATAAGGAAAATTATCAAATTTTAAGGTGATGACACGATTAAAGTTAAAGTGAATCTCCTGGAAATTATATATACATGTTTGTTTGTGTGTCTGTGTGTGTCTGTGTGTGGGTGTGGATGTGACACACGAGACAGTGGATTTGCTTTTCATCCACCTGGTGTTAGCGGTTATTGCTCATCACAGCCCGACTTGCTGAGTCATCTTGCAAATATTAACATAAAAATAACAACAAGCAACAAGCTGTTGAAGATACAATGGTTTATCTTGTAATATGAAATACAGTGAGTTTCTTCTCAATAAAAAAAAAAAAAGCACATCTTTTAAACAAATAATGTGCAGATATGCATGCATTTTAGGTGAGTGATTAATATCAGAAAATGGCACAGGTTGACAGCTTGACCTTAGATTAAGACGTATCCAGGACGCATTAATGCATGCACGCACGCACACACACACACACACACACACACACACACACACTCTTTTGCATCAATAAAGCGTCAGACTTGAAGCTCCATTTTTAGATATTATAGTAGATAGCAGGTAATTTTCTGAGCTTGTGCTCATTTGCTTCAGTCCTCTTCTTTAACAGGCTAATATTTTGCATGGTCAATGCATGTTTGTTTTACTCAAGGCACATAATGTGAACCACGCATGTATCATGTCATTCTAGTTAATGTCTAATTGCGTGTCAGTATTTTAGCCATTGGGTCTGGGCCTGTCTGGTATCAGACAACTTGTTGTTTCCTCGGCCTCTATTGAAGTGATGCTGATGTGGATGTGATGCTATGTGACACATTGAGTCTGGAAGACATTGGGGGGCCTCGGATACGTCTGTGGGTTTGAAAGTTGCTGTGTATGTGTGTGCACTTGGTTCTCGTGTGAAGAGATGCGACATGATAGCCACGCAAGCTTCATGCTACAAAGGACCAACAGCGTGGGGGACAATAATAGACTCTATACACTAGTGTGGATAGTTGTTGGGGCTGCTGGGAGTGCACGTGGAGCTAGTGCACGTGAGGTTCCCCTCCCCCCTCGCTGGTGATGTCAGTCCATGTACAGTATGCTACCGCTGGCAGTGCATGTGAGCCCATCCCCCTTTCTGACAGGCCTGCATCATGAGTGAAGCTGCTTTGGGGTGTTGCTTCAATGTTACACAAAATGAACACACACAAGAGGCAAGAGTCAGTGGGACACAATGTTCACACATACCTTTCATCTGCATCCTTGATTCTTCATGCAGGCATCGTGTTTTGCAGCATTACCCATAATCCTCCTTGGGAGTAAGTCTTACACCATTTCACTTTAATCCCATAACTCTCTGGTGCACTCAGTTACAGCAAACACGTGAAAAGCTATAAGATGCACAACACTGTGGGGAAAAAGGTAAATAGGAATAAAAACACACTGACACAAACTCAAACACACTCATTTGTCTTGGTAGAACTGACAACCATCTTAGTAAATAGATCTTCCAAGCTTTCCCACACTGTTAAAAATATCTGGAATTTTGTTGGGGGTTTTTTCATTTTATGATACTTTTTTAAAAAAAGATATAAACTAAAATATTACTTATTATTATGAATTTACATGTCTAATATAACATTAAAAACCTGTAACTCTGAATAGCCATAAATCTGACTTTATTTTCACAAAAAGATACAAATTATGTTTGCAAATTTATTGTAATTTCACAGCTATGTAATTTTGTATTGAACAGATGGAAATGTTACATTTAAGTTTAATTTATATATATATATATATATTTCTAAAATTTAGTTAAGGGAAACAGTTAAGAGAAAAAAAAGTATTGGTTCAGTAATTGTACATACATTTTTTTTGTTGAATGAGAAATATCTTCTACCATTTCAGAACAAAATTGTTAAATATATGTTTTTTAATCATCACATTTCGTAGCTAATTCAATAGTTTTTACATGTCATTATCCTTCATGAAACATTAAAAAAGGCCCCCCAAAATCCACATGATCTCATGTAAAATTAGGGCAAGAAAATGTATTTTTAATTATAGAATATCACTGTGTTTTGATTATATATTTCTTTTATAGCATTTTTTTTCTACACTGCATACATATCGATGTGCACGTACAAACATGCATGTCGAAAACATGCTGGATAAAAATAGTACATGCATCAAATTTGCAGTACAAAGCACAAGTGCCAGTCATCTTGTGGTGAACTTGAAAACTTTGATCAATAGGGCATCGACTGCTGCTGTATTAAATGTCGGCTGTGCTTCCTTGTCATGAAGTGTCAGTCAGTGTTTATTGGCAGTGTGTGCTGCACGAGACACGACACGCTTGTAATGAGCTTATCCTCTAGATTGAACAGCTGTCTGACATTGAATGTGTTTGGTTCGGAGTGACTTAATGGAGAACATGATGCTCTGGGATTTGACGCAGAGCTTGGGAGTGGAGCTTGGAGCAGTGTTGTGTTTCTAATTGATGTCCAAGAAAAGAGCAGAAACGGATGTTTGCCAGAAATTTTGCAGCAGCGCTACTCACATGCATCAAATTAAACAGAGCACTTAATGAAAGGTCTGTGCTCCCATCACCTCTGTCTGCGTTCTCTCCTTCTCTCTCTGAAACACTGTAAATCGGCCATCTGTGCAGACCACACACACCTCTGTTTGCTGTGTCAGTGTCATGTTGTGGTTGCGAAAAGTTCACTCTGTATAAACAGCGTGTGTTCTGGATGAGAGAAGAAGGGGACAAGTGCAAGACAGGCACAAGTCAACAATTAGCATCTCCAAGCATTGTTGAAAATCTCAGGAGCAGAAAGGAATTCTGGGAATGTTGTTCTCTGGAGCAGGTGCTAATGCTTCTAACTGACTAAACTGACTTTGCTAGCTCCCCCCATCACCATCCCCACCACCCGCCCCATCAGCCTCCCGCTGTGTTCGTCCTCTCTACGGCATGCACAGGCAAAGTTACAACCTTTATAACATAAACCAGCTGGTCGGGTTTTGTTGCTTATCTCGCTCCAAGTCTGCACAACATCTCATCTCTGATGTAAAAGATCAGCTGTTTGGGTGCAAAAGGCTTGAGGGTGGGGTCGAGGTTGTGTGTTGAGATCATCAGCTCCGGGTGTTTATGGTTGACGTATTTCAGCAAATGCAGGGTGTGATGCCGATTTTTGGCTCCATCAGGCTCTCCCAGCAAGCTCCAGCTGATCTTGAGAACTGGACTCAGGAGATTTTCTGTTATTTCCTTGCTTTCTTTTTTCTTTTTCTTTTTTTTACAGAACTAAATTTGAACCAAATGTGTTATTTTGGTGGAGGCGTGTCAGAGAAATACGAACAAAAGCTGATATATTAAGATCTGAGGTACAACCTTTATGACCCACATACAAGATGTTTCCATAACAACTGACTCTATCAATGTGGTCATGGATGTATTTGTGTGTGTGTGTGTTAGTGTGTAAATGTACTTGCACACTAATGGAAGAAGACCCTGAGGGGAGGATGATAAAGGCTCCTCAACCCCACCCCAAACCACCTGACACACACCCTGCTGAGAGCCAACAATGCTCCTTATCTTCACTTTTAGTGTTTATTAAAATTTTATAAAAAAATAAAGAAAAGCTATATTTAGGAGATCTATATTCAAATTCTGTTATTGTTGCTTCTTAAAAGGTAAATTGTTTGTCCTGAAGATGAAAACATCTGCGTTGCTGCTGTCTCTTTGAACAGCTCACCTTATGGTTATCGGCCTGTGTCTCTGCATGATGTCATTCATTGATTTTACAGCTCGACTGTGGCCGCTAATCTTCCAGAGTGATGCCTTTGTCGATCTAATCATCAGGATTAATGTTGGAGTCTGTGCGACTTTGATGTGCGGTGACTGATTGCACTTTAATGTGCAGTGGGGTAAAATACAGATATGTTGAGTCTCATGAATGCATGGTCCTCCTTTAATAGCGCTTTCACGTTCCACCTCCTTTTATTCTTTCTGGTTCTTTTGGACTTCACAGATGCAATAATTTGAAACTTTTCAATGATATAATTTATGGTTATTTCTTATTAGTCACTGTGATATTGTGGCTTACCGCTAATCCAAGAATCTCTCCAAAACAAGAGTCTGAATCTTGGTCTGACTTTGACTTTAATGTTTCCCAGCTTAATATGTGGTTCCTCTTCTCAGAAATGGCATTACTGAAAAGCAGATCTGATTTAACTGTGTGGCTTTGTGTTCTTTCTGCAGGGCTGGCATTGACGATGTGGAGACAGATGTGGTAGAAATTGAAGCAAAGCTCGACAAGGTATGAACCATTCTAGCATGTTATTTCTGCAGACTGTGCTACTCACTGTAATATCAAATTGTATAGTATGTAGACATTATATTGTATTGTTAGAGCACACAATCTTCTGTTTGTCTCGTTCTGTGATTGTTTTTCTCTGTTCATTTTTCTACCTGTCTGTTGCCGTCTCACTCTTGTTATCGTAATATCAAGGCAATATAAACCAAGGAAACACTGCAGGCATTACTTATTACATTTAACAGGTCCGTGCACTGCTAAATAACACACATAGATACAAATGCAGGAGTTGGTACACAGTGATGAACACTGAACAAACATTCATTAAAGTCACAGAGGCTTCTAACAGCACAGTCTGTTATCTGTGATATCTTTTCTTTTCTAAAACAGTACAGCAACAACGTATCATTAATCGTTAGTGAGATATGGAGTGAAGCAGTTTGACAGTTTAATTCCCTGGAGACACCATATTTTTAAAGATTCATTGGGTCTAAAGTGCATTGCACCTGTATTATTTTCACAAAAGGCTTTTTTGTTTGTTTGTTTTTATTTTATTTTTAATGTCCACAATGACCAAAAATATAATTCTTTTTTTTTTTATTGATGCCCATATTGTAGATTCATAAATATGTAAACTGTCATATTACTAGTAATCTGTCATAGGTCCGCTCCGCTAGTGGAACAATGGAAGGTAAAATGTTTTAAATTGGCTGAAAGCAGATGGGAAATAAATGTCTTAGCTGCATCATTGTTATACCCGATTAGCTATAAAGATGTCTCTGTGTGGAAGATCAGCTGGAATAGATGGTTAACTGTCCCCAGGGAGAGAGCTGAGATCATGCCTCCTCTGATAAACTAATAGACTTGTAAGTCAGACAGAATTTAGAGGAAGAGATATTGTTATTGTGGGTAAGTGGGGACCACACCTTGTTTCTTCGTCTCTCTGAAAAACATCTTCGAGCTTCCAACTGTTCATCTTGTGCAGCCTGTGAATACTACAACGGATTACCATCCTTCATTGTGCACAACTAAGTGTCTTAAAATAAAGAATTTAGATGATAGTGATGTTTTCTTGATGTATCTATTTCCTATGGAGTCACATTGTTTCAGCCCCACACTCTTAAGCCAATATCTCAAACAAATGTCCAGACCCTGTCAAAAAAAATCACATATTTACGCCCCATTTAAGCACCATTGAAAGATGAAAAGGGTCAGAGGGGAGAGTGTCTCATCAGGATGACCTGTTGTATACAACAGGGGTCCTCCTGCTGCTCTGTTAGGAAGCTCTGATGCTGCCTGTGCTGACAGCAATAAAGACTCTTAGAGGAGGTTGTTTACAAGATTGCTGAAATCTGAACTATTCTGACAAGTGTGAAATATTCAGTGCTGTCCACTAGGGATGAACAATTTAGGGAAATTATCACGTTTTTCTGACAGATATTGTGATATGATTGTTAAAGGTCAAGCTTCAGTTCAATATTAATTGTATAACAGATTTAAAACGTGATAGAGCATTACCACATGAGACCCCACGGAATTGTAATGATTGTCGACTCTAATGGCTCACTAAAGCACTGAAATTAAGCATTTTTGTATTACGTCAGGCTTTTGCTTGTTAATTCAGTTCTCCTCTTTGTGACCCAGCAACTGGAAATACACGAGCACTGCTGTGGACCGTTTATAATGAGCCAGAATTCTAAAATGACCTTTTCTACACCTCATTGCCCAGCAGAGATTCTCTAACTGTTTCAGTCAATTAACACAGCAAGGTCTGTCATGTGGTACCAGATGTGGCATTCTGGCTCCAAGTGGACCCCTGTTGTTCTTCCAGTCCATTTATTAACAGGTCCAGACACGTATACTGTGCCTCTAATAGCCAAGCTCAGACCCCCCAGGCTCAGTACAGCACACGATGAGATCAGATTCCCCCTATCAGCCAATTTGTTGACATATATGCTGTCAGACCAGCCTTGGAAGAGCAGCAGCAGCATCAGGCTTCCTTGTATTTTCTCTGGATTCATAACAGTGCCAGTCATGTACACATGATCATCTAGCCTGTGTGATGCACTTCAGATAACTACATCTGTACATACAGCGTGTACACACTTTACATTTGACTCACACATTTTACGCCAGCAGCTGATTTTAGCAATCTTCACGCTGTCGTACATGCTGCAGTTATCAGCCTCTACAGATTGAAGGACTTACTGTCAGCCGCCCAGTAAACCACACTCTCATGGTGACAACCTTGGGAACTCCTGCACCAAATGAGATAATTAAAGGTTTACTGCACTCTCTCTTCCACACATGTTCTGATTCTGCAGTACACACAGCTGCATTAGTGCAACTGTAATGACAGTGTACCGCTCTGTAGCTTATCATATTACCCGTAAAGTGGGCAAGTGTAGCGGTCGCCAGTTCATGGGGTGTTTAAAGGCGTGCATACCATCACTGTAAACTGTCTGCACCTGGTAGTATACATTTACAGTCATATGTTTACAATTACACTTTTTGCTCTTGTATGCCTGCGTCTCAAATCACAACCTAATAAACAGTATGTGCAAGTTTGGTACGATATTGGAAAAAGCATTGCAATATTTTGTTTTCCTGCAATATATGCTGCCATGTGACAAAACAAACTTAGTAAATAGGGCGTGTGTATAACTTACCGACTGCAAGATGCTGCCTGTGGCCAAAGTACTGCAGCCTGGTCCACTTGTTTGGGGCGGCAGCCTTCATGTTCACCACATTTTCTGTTGTTATACAGACTTGACGTCTCTCATCGAGGCCTCAAGCAGCCAACGTTTCTCTAATCACCATTACTATGTTCTTGCTGTTATGAGCCTAAGGGGAAAATGCTGTTTGCAAACAGCAACTTTTCAAATGGAAGTACTCATTATTAAAGTGGACAGTAAGATTTGGGGCTCCTTTGTCAAGCTGGACCACAAGTCGGTTGTAGCTGCAAAGCATTCCCCTCATGACAGCACTGTTTCAAGTTGTGCCTTGTAATTTTAATACAGCTCTGGGACAGCAGCTTGAGAAAAAGAGTTACGTGATGGTGTTACAAACCGCTTCTGAAAGGATCATGTTTTTAGTAACTGTATTAATTAGTATGATATTATTCATGAGATGAAAAGCTACACATCGGTGATTTCTGTCCGTCATGTGGCACCGTTCTCATACGGTGTAACACTGGCAAAGACATCTTAAATAGATTTTTGCTTCAGATGAACTGGTCAGATTAGATCTGGCTTTGTGCTTGTCATACCGAGCTTTGTGGTGTCGATACAAAAAGGTCAAACAAATCAGTTGTGTTGCTTTGTCAAGTGGCCACAATTGCAAGACACTGCTGACAGAGTAACCATGCTTGGTCAACATCATCGTTTCCGTATACCTGATGTTGTGGGGGTTTTTTTGCAACCAAATTTTCCTTTTCAGTGTTTTTCTCCTGTTCTTCGCTCATTTGACTGTGCACTTGCATCGCCAACATGTCAACAAACTCTGTCTTATAAATAGTCATCATAAAACTCTGTGTGTCCAAGAACTCTTAAATCACAATAAATTATATTATGTCAGACAGACTTCTTTTGTAGATTAGTCAAGTAAAACGAGAACCGTATGCGTTTTCTTTTTGGGTCAATCAGCAAAGACATAGCATGATGTGTTTGAGTTCATTTTTCTCACATACTATTGCGCATGCGCACATTACAGTGTTGATATTCAAACAATAATTTGTACAGCCCTAGTATGTGCACCACACTACTTATGACTGTTTTACTTGACTGAACATCTAAAAAAATATAAATACAAATAAATATCTGAAGAGTTATTAGATGGATTCTATTGAAGGTTTGTATAGACAGTTGTGGTGACCAGAGGCTGACATACAATAATCTAAACATGTAGTTTAAGTAAATGTAGCTTTGTTCATTTTTACTACTACAAATTTTCCACAAAAGAAGAAAATTAACAAATCTGGAAGCACCCTACACTCGAGGATGCCCTTGTATCTGCTTTGAGAACCACTGCTTTTTGGTATAGTGCCACCAAACATTCTTTCAACAGAACAAAAATGTGTACTTTTGGCTGAAATTATAGTTATGCAACACTGCACCTGTCGATGGTGCTACAAATAGAGATAAAGTGTTAAAAATCTCATTTTATTTTAACTATTTGTGCAGCATGTTGTGAATGTGTGAAAATGGGAGCTTTGCCATGTATTTAAGTCTTTTAATTTGTACTTTTATCTCTATTCTTTAATAATACTCACTTCTCATTTGGATTCCAGACACACCAGCTTCAGTAAGGCCTGCAGTGGCCTCAATACAAAAATGAGGATTATTCTAAATTTGAGTGTCTTCTCACATTTTGCATGTGACTAACAGTTCCTTTAAGCTTTGTTTGATTCGCGTCATCACTGCAACTATTAATATCCTCGCGTTGCCTTGTGTAAAACATGTGACTCTTTAAATAGATGCTGCTCTTGTTGGGTATTAAAAGTGATGGTTTTTTTGTGCACCCATCTAGCTGGTGAAGCTGTGCAGTGGGATGATTGAGGCCGGCAGGGCCTACGTCAGCGCCAACAAGCTCTTTGTTAATGGCATCAAAGACCTGTCCCAGCAGTGCAAGAAAGAGGAGATGATATCGGTGGGTAGCGGCAACCATTTCTTCAAAACTGTACTCGAATGTCTGTATCCACTGAAGAATGTTTGAGGGTCAGAGTCTCAACAAATGACCACTCATCCGTCTTTTCTACAACATTCCAGCGAATCCCCACATGAATAGTAACGGCAAAGCAGTATAAACAGTGTTGTCCAGACACAGAGTATTGCAGCTGTTGTAAGCATGAGAGAAGTGACCACATGCAGACAGGAGATGTTTATGCCGACAGTTTACATGGCTGCAAGCAGAGACATCTGAAACCTGCTTTATGGTTTTTTTAGGAAAACATTTGGACTGGATTTCCTGTCAGTATGCGTGTCACCCTGGTAGCTTCAGGGTGCAGCAGCTAGACATTATTTTTCCAAAGTCAAGAAGTCTCAAAATGTTTTTTTCCATATAAGCATCGATCTACAACATATTTTGTGAAGAGAGACAGTTCAGAAATCTTATGTGAAAAAGAGATGTAGGTACATACGGAGACCTGTGCTTACACTGTGTATGTGTGTGTGTTGTCAACAGGAATGCCTTGAAAAGTGTGGAGAAAGCCTTCAGGAGATCGTCAACTACCACATGGTAAGAGACTTTTACACAGACACACACACACTTGAGGTAGAGCAGCATTCAGACACGCCCAGGTTTTCCTGGCATGTTAACATGTTTCAGTCCTTCCCTGGTCCCAACATTGCACAACACACACAAACATACACACAGAATTTAACTGTGACATCACTCTGTCATGGTGAGTCTCTCCACGCTGGTCAGTGCACATGCGTGTGTCGGATTCAAACCACGTGCTTCAGCCGAAGCTACAACACAAAAACATTCACTGATAACGTAACACACACCAAAACAGGTTTTCCCCTCATGACTCCAGAGTGATTTCTCATCATGACTAAATGTCATGCAAATAAAATTTCCCACTCTGTGAATCTGCTGGTACAGGTTTGGAGAGCCCAAAGGCAAATCTACATGCAAAGAGATATTATGACGTTTTAAATACTTATAAGTCATCAACATTGACAGTTACAGGTATTAGACGCTTTTAGAGAACTGTATTACGGTTATGACAAGTTGATGTGAGGTGTTCGTATATACACGACTGTGCAAAATCTATAAAAAATATATATGTAGCCAAAGGTAAAATAAGGATGTGTAACAGTGGAAAAAAAGAGCGAGCAAAGATAAAAATAGATGCAGACGGAGGATGGAAGCAACAAAGAGACAAGACACAACAGTCAAGGCTCTGCAGCTTTAAAAGAATAATTTACACCACAGCTCTGGTCCTTATCCCAGAAATCTGCAAAGTTACCCCGTCGACAAACCATTTTAGTGAACGAGCATTGATTTTGTCTCGTAACAAGATAGATTCTGCTGAGGATTTGACATAAAGACCCAAACAGGCAGACAAGGGTAGGTCAAATTTTACTGCCAGATTGCCGTTGAGTTTTAGCACTCAGATTCATGTATTTCCTATAAGGCTCTTTGATTTTGAAGCTCAGCAGTTGCAGCGATCAGGATCCTTTTGTTTCCTCCAATGTCTGATTAACAAGACTTACCAGTTTACAGCACGATTGACGAGGCGAAGCTGTACGTGCTCACAACTGTTTGGATGTCTAAATTCGTTGTCTAACAGCAGTGTGCCTTAGTTTAGTTTTAGCACGCTAAACACACAGTTCATGGGAACGTCATTAGTTAATAAATACCCAGTGGCATTAGGTGAAAATTTAAAGGATCACAAAAGTCATCAGGACATGAATGTCAGTTCAAAATTTAACGGGAATTTGTTTAACAGTCTAGTCATTGAGATGTCTAAGAGACAGACCAGGTGTTTGCCATCTTTCTGCCAAACTATGTCTTATTTTGGTATTTCTGGCCATCAAGCTGTTATGCTACAGAGACCCTTAGCAGCAGCTTTTATCTTACCTTTCTTAATCTGTATTGTGCTGTGACCTCATTAGAGTCTTTTACCCTCCCCTTTTCTTCTTTTACAACTGCCCCTTCTTGTTTCTTTAATTCTGATTTCCCACTTTGTCTGCTTGTATCACTATGTACAGTATGTGACATTCACTGTCCTCTACAGTACAACCTTGAATGGAAGTTTCCTGATTTGAGTGTGATTGAAATTTGCTGAGTTTATAGTTGTTGTTTTTTTTATTCTTGGAGGAATGGAATACCTTATTCTAAACAAATACACTTTGTTATAAAAGCACAGATGAACTTCACTTTAGTAGTTTCAGGACATTTACAACAGCACTGTTTGCTAGTTGGACACAGACATGAGTAGGTCACAGACACAACACAGAATCCACTATCCCATATTCCTCACTAATCTGTCTTGTTCTTTTCCCACAATTTTCATTCATGTCCCTTCTTATCTGACCGCTTTGCTCCACTGAGTTCAAGCCTCTTTAACCCCAACCTTTTTAAATCAAAGCGCTGCACACTACATAAGATCCATCAGCCACATCAGAGTGATGGGATTCTCTCTTTTCCTATAAAAGCAGTTGACTATTTTTGTCTTCCTATAAATTATATGCACTGACATGTTTAGTTTTTTGTTTTTGTTTTTTTTTTTCTGTGCCTCTAACTTTAAGTCTTATCACATAGCAGACCACTTTTGTTAAATCCTCGGTAGCAAAGCTTTTGGCTGTTTGATGGGCAAACTTCTGTTGGCTTTCATCACCCCCTGTTTCTTTTCCTCTGCCTTTCCATCCATCCTTGCTGTCCTCCTGTACTCTTCCTCCTCCATCGCTTACCCTTCAGCAAAGGTGTCCCAGTCCTCCGCTCTAACTCCCAGGAATTACACTAATAGCTTGTCTGGCAGACAGTATGAATGGAGGAGTGGAAGAAGGGGAGGGAAAGACATAGTGAAAGGAAATCTGTCTTTGTTCGACCACCCACTGGTGCCTATTTCTGCACCTTTTCAGCTCTGGAAGACACATAAGTAGGCACTGAAACAGAGAAAAGAGTCTCCCAGTAAATCATGGGATGAGCAAATGCGTTTACTTTCAAAAATGCATAAATCCCACCACAGGTCTTAACAGATTAAGAAGAAAATCTTTGTGGAACTGAGCTGATTGTTGTGAGATTGTCATGTACTGTATGAAACAGTTTCTATGCAGTGATGTTTCTCTGGAAGACCAACGCTCCCGTTGGTTTCCTGTAGTTTTAATGCCAAACAGACAGAAATACAGGAGAAAAGGCTGATGCAACTTTGAGCAAACCCTAAGGATCTCTAAATCTAAGGATGAGTGTGTTGTGAAACTGAGAGTAGACATCATGTAGGTGCGGTTGGGTCAAGCCCAGGGCACTGTGATGAAAACCAGGTCTGGATAGAACATTTGGAGCCTTTACCATTTGTACAATATCTGTCTGATGGAACTAATATAGATTTTTTTGAAGATTTAATTATTTTCTGTCATACACCTCCTGCAAAAGATTATTATAATTAAATTATTATTAAAGATTAAACCAGTGTTTTTTAGCAGTTGTCTGATTCACATTTCACATGTCAGAGTTCTCCACTGCTCCACCAAACAGTGATTTTTCTCTCTAAACCTTTCACATGGTTTCATTTCATTAAATGTTTAAATGATCCAATACTAAACCAAAAAAAAGATGAAAGTAAGTCCAAAAATGAAACCAGATTTGTGTATCAGAACTCTTTCTTTCCCGTCCCATTAATAATCTGAGAACCCTCTCAGATTTATCAATATATTTATCAATATATTGCAAAGTATGATTTGTAGAATATGACTGCAGATTTACAGAAAGGAGTAAAAGGCTGCTTAACTTGATGCCTACCACAGTGTGGCAACCATTTAAAAAGCTGTTTCAAAGCACCGCAGCCAACAAGGAATAGCAGGTGATTCATATTTCCACACTGAGTGCAGGATGCATTTGTATAAATTTATGAACTCCCACCTCAAGCAGCATATCTGAGAGCCAGGACCTGATGCAGTGAGTGTGCAGGGACGTCATGTGGACGGAGGCTTATACATAGACTAAGCCTGTAATCCTCAATGTGTATGTTTATAAACTAGGGACCGCTATAGAAAGTTTAATCCACATACTGCCCATAAGGTTTGTCATATACATTGTTTGTGTTTGTATGGCTATGGAGGCAACACAATCTTATCGCATTTGTGTGTGTGTGCATACAAATGTGTCCACTGAGGCATTCTTGTTGCCCCTGCAGACGGATAAATCAACGAGGCCGCATGTTTGCTTAACATAGATGGATGGTGCGTTCATCAGCAGCCAGTGTGTGTTCATTATATGACAGAAATATAAAAAATCAGAAGCAAAATCCATTGATAGGATGCACAAGTAATGGAGGAAGAGGAGAAGGACAGAGGGAGAGGAAACAAAAGAGGAGGATCCCATCGTTAACAGGAAGCTAAATGTGGCGTCCTATAGGGCTAAAAATCTGTGGAGGCAGCAACTGAGCGTATGCACATGTGTGTTTGTCCTCATCTCTCTTCTCTTTCCCTCTTCTGCCCGTGGCATCATCTTATGACGTGAGAGGGTTCGCACTGCCATCTTGTGGCGAGATCTAGCAACTACAGATTTGCAGAAATGATCCATTTATCCCAGTTGCAATCAGTTCTTTGATTGCTGTGCTCTGTGGCTCATCCTATGTGTTTGTGTTTCCACCTCGCTTGGCTTCTCACAGATTCTGTTCGACCAGGCTCAGAGGTCGATCAAACAGCAGCTTCACACCTTCATTAAAGAGTGAGTATATCATCAACAGTTTATGAAGTAGCTTCCTCTCACTCCGAAAAGGAAAGATGCAATGCATGTTTAAGTTAGTAAGGGGAGATGAAGTCATGCAAATGGATATCATAGGACAGTATGTTTATATTCACAAAATCGGTTGCATACCAATGGCCGATGTCTGTCTTTATATGTCCACATATTGAGAAATAACAGTTGAGATTTATAGTTAGCCTCTGCAAAAAAAAAAATCCAGTAACATGAATCAAGAATTTCCATCTGTGACTCCTATATGCTCTTGTGATTTGGCATAATTGTATTGAATTATAACCCACCTCTTTGTCTCTGTCTGGTGCTTCCTCCATCAGGGATGTTCGCAAGTTCAAGGACACCAAGAAGCAGTTTGACCGAGTGCGCGAGGACATGGAGCTAGCACAGGTGAAGAACGCACAGGCACCCAGGAACAAGGTGCACGAGGCGGAGGAGGCGACACAGGCCCTCATCCTCAGTCGCAAAGCCTTCAGGCACCTGGCCCTGGACTATGTGCTACAGGTGAGACACACACACAAACACCTACACAGACCCAAGGTGTAATACCAGTGTTGTCCAATAGATGGCACCCTCGATCAACGGCTACCAAACTCATGACTCTTGATGCTCCTGAATGTAGAAAAAGGAGCAGCTGAGGTGGTGTTTTTTTTTTAAATCATTTTTTATTGACTAAGTCACGTAACATCCCTCCTGTTCATGTCAAACATGCAGCCTAAAATGTAGAATTTACTTTTCCCTTTTGCGTTCTTTTACAGATTAATGTGCTGCAGGCCAAGAAGAAGTTTGAAATCCTGGATGCAGTAAGTAGTTCAGATTCAGCTCCTTCATTTTTACGCAAAAACACCTGAACAAAGTCACGTTCTGCGTATGTATGTGTTATTTCCCGTAGAGTGTACAAACACAGGTTTTATTTTCTCCTCATGTCTCCCGCAGATGTTGTCCTTCATGCGAGCCCAGTACACTCTGTTCCAACAAGGCTTTAACATCCTGGATGAGATTGACCCCTATATGAAAAAACTGGCTGCACAGGTAAAAAGAAACAAACAAACCCAACACGATTACTGCAGTTGCTTGTATAAAGAATAGCTTATTTGGCAAATAAGACATCCACTGGGATAAGGGAGCTACCCAGTTATTCAGGTCGTGACTGTGAATTCATGGAGGATTTGAGTGTTTTTGTGTTGTTGTGTCTTTCGTCTTGCTTGTATTTCACTGACTCCTGCTGCTTGTCTTCTGTTGTGTGCAGCTGGATCAGCTGGTCATCGACTCGGCCATGGAGAAGAGGGAACTGGAGCACAAACACGCCCTCATCCAGCAGAGAGTGAGACAACAACACAAATCTTATCTACCAGCCCCTGCTGTCAAAAAGCAAAATCTCTTTGCTTATCCTTTTCAGAGGAACACTTGTGCACTGCCACCTTCTTTTTCTTCTCTCCTTGTTTTTCTTCTCTGCCAGTGAAAGTCACCAATTATAAAAAAAAAAATAATTACAAAACTCACACGGGCACAGCAGCTTGTTGAGTAATTTCTTGTCATATGTTGTTAAATTTGATCAGAATAATTCTCTGCGAGTGATGTTGAAATTAGGAATCTATGTAACAAAAAACAGGGAAATAAATCATTCAATATTACATTGAAGCGTTTATATCTTTAGAAAACTTCAGTGCCAAAACTCCATCTGTTGTTTCATTGAGGCAATTTTGGTAAAAGCGATCACAGTACAAACTAAATCTGAGAAAGTTTTGTGCCACAACAATTGTCTGCCGTTGTCAAATTATATTAATGTAAAGCTTTTCAAAACCATGCAAGCTCCTTTACAGCCCCTACACAGCTCAGCTTTTTCTCAAATCTTGATCTTCTCCGTTTGCATTGAAACACTTTTATTATATCGTATTTTCCACCTTTGAATCTCAAATGCTTAGAACAGATGTCATGGTCATGTGTTTTATGCTTCTCAGGAAATGACTATTGACATTTTCTTAAAAGTTGCTACACCAGATTTTTCTGTCAACACTTTTCACTCAGAAATGACAAGCTCCTCCTGTTTCTGTAGAAAACCTGCAGTTAGAACAGATATTTACCTTTTCTGGAATCTGAAACAGGTTATGTAACGACAACCAAGCATTTTATCTTACATTGTCATCACATGCCTTGTTTGACAAAAAATATTTTCCAAAGAAGCTTTGATTCTCTTTTACCCTGTCTGTTTCGTGACCTGAGCTGTCACGTATTCTTTTGTTTCAGCAAGACATGGAAATATCTTACAAAATAACAGGAATAAATTTATCAGTGTTGAATGTGGGTTGTCTTTAAACCAGGCCTAAATTAAGAGTTTGAAGTCAGAAAGCATTTGCAACAAAGACAGTCAGATAAATTTGTTTTCCAGATCACCCAGCTGAGGAAGAACAATACCTTAAATCCATCCACCCGTTCACCAAACAGCGGTCACACTCATGCACAAACATCATCCATCTGTTGTTGGAGGAGATGCCAAAAACATGTCAATTTTTCCACCCGACTTGGCCGTTCCTTGTATTCGATTTAGTTGCCACATGGTGGCATCCGGCCAGACCTGGCAAACAAATGTGTGCCGCACCTAACGGCCTATCAGAAGGCCTTCTTTCTTTAATGCTGCTTGACCTATTTCAGAGTATTCTATACTAATAAACAAAGCATAAACACTTCATGTCTAACCTGCTGCAGCTAAGAGTCAGTTGGATCTTGATTAGATTTAGAGCAACTGTTCACCGGAGGCCATCTCGGTTTCACGGTTTGTGAACTAGCCAAGGTTGTGGTTGTTACTCAAAAAAAATCCATTAATTATTGCTTTTCTATATGTAAATAAAAGCAGTCTTTCCTTACTGACTTTCTCTTTAAATTAAAACTATCTGCTACATTACTTTTGCATTGTACCACAACAATGCCTGAGATACAGGGTCACAGTCAACTACATATGTTCACATATCTACACACATCCCTACCCTAACACAGGGGATGTGCACAAGAGCTGTCCTTATGTTCTTCATAAAGCATTACCGCAGCAAGTCAACAGCAAAGTTAGTAAAAACCAGCCTGATGAGCACAGCACACAATCAGGGTAGCACTGGCTACAGGCTACACTGCTTCAAAATCAAGGGAGTGATTAGTAACTGTAATGTAATTGCTGCATTTAGGAACAGTAATTACAGTGAGACGAATGTATTTAATAACAGGAATGCTTTATTTTGTAATGCATTACCCACAACACTATCATTAACTAGCAGCAGCTGGTGAGTCAAGACATTCGACACATCGATTAGTACATGTTTCACTTTACCGCATATTTAGCTTATGTCAATAAATGAATGCGGTGGTGTTCTTCTATTAATACATTTCTCTCCCTCTCTTCACTGTGCCCCTACATGACCGCAATCTTCTTCTTCCAGACTCTGATGCAGGTGAGTTTATTTTTTTTTCTTCCTTTTTATACCATTAAATTTATCCACAGTTTCTTGGTTGAAAGTTAACTGTGGAAAATGTCTTCTGGTGGCAATCTAAAAAGGTGGGTGGAGAGTTGTATTGTATAAACCTTCAGGAGTAACATAGCAGAACTATGCAGCTTCTGACCCATAGTGGTGAGTTTCTTCACAGGAGTAGACTTTAGGATGTGATTCTTTGAGTTTGTTCTCTAAGCTCTAGATCATGTTGCCTGTAAGCAAAGAAGCCACATTTTCTGGTTTGTTGATCCCCAATTTCCGCTTCCACACGCGCATGTAATGGCATCTCGTAAAACGTGAACCAGCAGATGCGCGGGTACCAGCCATTGTGTATGTGTGTGTAGCAGTTGTTGTTTAGCAATGCAGAATAGGTTGAATGACTGATGCACGGAGAGCGGTTTTATGGTCACCCTCATGTCGTCTGTTCGGCGTTGTAGTGCAGACAGTTTGTTTTTCTGTGCGTGTGGGGCAATCTGTTTGTCTTTCAAAGCATGACTGTGTTTATCAGGAGGCAGGGGACGAAACACGCTTCTTTAATGCTCCTCATGCTTGTGTGGGCACGCCAGCACAGCCTGTCTGGGCACAGGAGTTAGATGTTTTGATTTGGGTTTCTAACCATGATGATAGCTCACGTCTGCCTCTTTGCCTCACTGAAACCGGTGAGTTTCATTGTTTGTCATGACTTACGTACACATGTATGTAGAATGCTACTTGCAGCAGCGCTATCCCAAGAAAAAATTCCACTAATAAAGCATATATTCTTGTATTGTATCACATCTTATCATGCCATATTATCTATTGTGTCCAGCAGGTCTTGGCTGTTCACAAAGAGCAACAGCTTCCCGGACATGAAATACTTTTTTAAAACTCATAGTCTGTCTTCAAGATGTCCTTTCTTCTCTTTAATTTTAGATATTTTTCCAACCACACACTCTTTCTATCATCATAAATAGCTCTGAAAACATACAAGCTGTTCCTCAAGCTTCTAGAACACAACTGCATTTTTCAGTCCATAATTAATCCGTTTCATATACTCATGAGCCAATCAGTGTATTACTCTCCTGCATGTTGTGTGTCTTTATTTTTGGATCATGCAACATACAGTATGATGCTCGTGTCTGTTCTGCTGAGAACATGTTGTCTCTGATAAAGCCAACAGAGTGCAGTATACAGTTGAGAGTTGGAGTTGTATGGGTGAGGATTGACATTTCAGCTTTCTGTGGAACTGTTTATGTGCACTTGTGGTGCATACTTGCTCTTATACAGCTGCTACAGGAGCATAAGTTGCAGAATAACTAACTGAACCAATGATGACTCAGATTTCTACTCAAGTTTATTTTGTGTTGTTAGATAATTCCTGGGATGCCGTCAGCAGCGAGCAGAAATTCCTTGCTAGTAGAAACTTTACTGCATGTCCTTCCTGATGGACTTTATTTCAGCCGTGATGAGAATAAAAAATGGAAGCAGTTTCCGGCCGTTTTCTTCTCCTGTCACATTTTTACTCACTGTAATTTTTCACTCAAGTATAAAGTCGGGCACAACCATGGCTAGAGGTAAAGAGAACCCAAATGTTTTTTTTTAATGTAATATGACATAGTTGTGATGCCAAAAATCATTTAAAACAAAAACAAAAAAGAAAAAGTTGGTTTTTTTTCTATTATTTACTACAATTTCTTTCTTTCTTTTTTTTTTTATAAAGAAAAAAAGAAAAAACAAGCTGAGATCAACAGGTACAACTTTTTATGTTCCAATTGCCCCCAGATGAATATTGCTGACCGTATAAACAAAAGATATCCACCAATTACATTGTAATTTGCTTCCGTACTATCTGCTCTGTGTAAACAAAGCCTGCAGTTCAGCCCAGCTCAGCAGAAAACTCCTTGAATTTTTGTCACGTTGCAGCTGAGTCAGTAATGGCTTCACGATTGCACCTTGACCTTGCATGAAGGACCTTAGATTTTTTTTGTTTTATATAGGAACTGGTTAGTACAAAAAAATCTTTTTGGTGAATTTTTAAACTAAACATATAAATGAAGCGATTTTGTCACAGGTGATTAGCTCAAGTACTGTCGTAAAAGTTCCAAATCCAGCCATTCTTTCTGTTTTTACAGTTTCTGGCCCTGATAGTTGGTTTGATGTCTGCTATTTTTTCTTTAAAGACAGCATGCCTTTAAACCCGTCTGCGGTTTGTGGAGTTCAGAGGGTTAATCCAATAAAATAAGTGTGAAGAAGCAGTAGTAAGATGATCTGACTGCAGCTGCCTCAGTTCTTTGATGCTGTCCTCTACTGTAGCTCCAGCTCTCATAATCAAAGAGCTGGCGCAGTCGATATGTAACCAGCGACTGCAGACGTGTAGCTGTGCATGATGCCAGCGTCAACCCACTTCCTCCTCCATCTACTGTCAGCTCTGGCCAAAGTCAACAGATGGCATTACAACACACAGTAGGGGGTTGAATGTGAAGGGAAGTGATGGAGCACAAATAAAGAGAGGAAGACGTGGACTGTTTATGAAAGAGATAAAACTCAAAGGAAGAGAAAGGTGTCTGCAGTGTATTCCACGGTATTCCACTGATTTTAGAGTCACGTAGACGTAGAGAGTTCAACTTCAAGCCAACTGCATTTTCTACAGAGAGTCGGCGGCTGATCATGTCAGTGATAATGCAGGAGAAAACGTCAGTGCTGTTTTAAGCTACATGGAATGATATTGTGTCTAAAACACATTTCACAATGAAAAGACATGAAAAGAGACAAAGAGATCAGTAGATACAGGGGAAATGTTGCCACGAGGCATTTAGATTTTCTTCCTGCACACTACCATGTTTTTTTTTTTACAGACTATTCCATTGTTATGCAGATGTATAGTGGTACAAGAAGCCATGAGACTGCAGAAATTTTGAATTATACATATCATGCATTCTGTATTAATAGGCCACCAAGTTACTGCAGTACTCATACTCAGAGGAAAATGAGATTATTAAGTAGTTAAGTCTAAAATTGCTTGAGACAGAAGTACATTTTTAGTGAGGAGAGGTACAAGATATGCAAATGCCTGTGATCTACTAACAGATTTTGAAAAAGGTCACAGGTTTGCCGAAGTCGGACTGGTATGAAGGTTCAATAGGGGATCGTATCAGAGCAGATAAAAACATTTGTGCGTGAGTGAAAACAGTCATGACCTTGTTGTTGCCTTGAGGCCAAAACCGTAATCTTGCCATCAGCGAGAAACTATTTTAATCATTCGATATCTGATATGTCAATGTAGTTCCCCTTTCTTGTTTTTTGTCTCCCTCCTTACCTCACCCCTGCTTTGATTTACTCCAGATGGCCCCACCTCCCTGTCTTTAAATCACCCCGTCTCACCCGACAGGTCCTGCACTCCCTCTTTCTCGTCTTTCTGTTCTTTCACAGCGGTCCTTTATGTGTGCAGGACTTCATTGTGGCTCCCAGGGGAACTGTTGTCTCTGCTCCCTCCTCCTGCATTGTTACAGGTTCTGGGCTGTGTAACATTTTAAGTCAGTGTGAGGTAAACAGAAAGAGAGACTAAAGTGTTGTTGCTGAACATTTTGTTAGCCAGATTTATTCATACATTTCACTACAGGCTAAATTTGATCACTTCCATCGCAGAAATTCCTCAATCTGCTTATTTACAGAGTTGCACATTACTCAGATGATCCATCAAATCAGGGCTTTCAGTGGTTTTGTGCTGAAACATGACAGCTACTGTGGTGTCAGAGACAGAGCCAGTTATATAATCTCCATTGTCAAACTTGAGTCAGGACAATAGTATGAATTGTTTCCAAACTAAACACTAACCTGCAAACAGGGCAGCGTTTACCATCTCTGGTATTGGTAATTGTATTATTATTGTAATTCAAGGAAGTGCAGCCCGTGCAACTCTTTGTCTCAGGAGCAGCGTCAGACGCGTGGGTTAGCTGTCAGTTGTACTCCATTTGCCAACAGGTGTGTTTGGTATGTCACACCACCCCACACAATAGGCAGTATATGCAAATCAGCACATGCAAGCTGCTGCAATTCCTCCCAGCCTATACCATCTCTTATAATCTCACAACATGCAAAATGCCTTTCAGACATACACTCCTCTCTGTTAATCTGACTGCCACTGAACGTGTTGCGACGACAACCTTGCCAGGTCTGACCCAGTAACATTTTTTGCATAACTTACAACATGGCACAAGTCTGAGCTGCATGCTGTCTTATTGACAGAGACCTGCTTCTAGTTGTGTGAAGCAATTTCAGGAAGGCTTCTTTTACTACCGATGTTAGTCCAAAAACACAGTATAGGTGCCAAATTTCTTATTAATTTACAGTTTAACATCTGTCAGTCTACAAAATGAAATGTCCATAAAAATAAAAATGTAACTGCCATGTCAAACACAGACTCCAAGTTTATAAACTGCAGTTAAATCATTCCTCCCACAGCTGCTGTTATCAGGTTGAGTCCTGAGCGCGATCGCAGCTTTTTATTTTACTGTTGATAAAGTAGATTATCAGCACACATGGAAAGAACTTTTAGCAATAATAAACTAGACTAGTAGTTTGTAAAGTTTTATAAACTTGTTATTAGTTTAGATTTAGTATTTTGTTTACAAGTGCGTGAATATTTATTGAACATCACTTGACTTGTTGTCAATGTCTTAATGTAAAATATTGCAAGGTAAAAATTCTGATTTATTGATTTACATTAACCTTGCAAGTTGCAAACATTGTTTTGATGATCTGTGTTGACATAAGAATATTGCATCAACCTAATGTTGTATGCAATTTTTACGCAATTTGTTTTGCATTAATCATCAATTGACTTGCAGGTAATGAATTAAACTGGACTATATATAAATACTTATGTGGATGATCTTATGAATAACTACACTAAGAAATACATATAAATACACATATATGCATTGCATATAGATAGGTACAGATAAATGAACATAAGTATACGTATTTGAAAACACACACACATGTAAATGACATTTTCCACCACAGATAACTTAATTTTTCAGGATTTCAAGTTCTGAAAAACTTGTGTTTATGCAACCAATTATGAAGTTATTGGTAATTTAAAGTACAACCGATTGTAGTGGAATAGACTAATTCAGCAGACTCAATATTATTTGGTGGTTACACTTTAATTAGAAATTGTTAGAACTTAAAAAGGATGATGCAAACTGATGCATTAGTTGTCGTTGTTGTTGTTGTTGTTGGGCCTAAACATCTGTTTTTGTTGTGGTGGTGGTATGTCTGAATGAAGGAACATTAATGGAAAAGCAGAATGCCCTCACTTTAACAGAATGTTAAAGCCAGTAAAGTTATGCATCATCTGTGTGAAAGGGGCCTGTGTTGTGGTGAGTTTGGGTCCAGGCAGTCTTGCGGCCTCCTGCTGCATTCTTGCGGGGTCCAGGCTGATTTAAGGTGGGAAGAGGGGGCTCCGGGCTGGTGTTTGGGGAGCAATAATATAAGCTTGATTAAGCAGGAACAGTTTTGAGAGCCGCAGACAGATGGAAAGCTGAGTCCCCCCAGAATCAAGTTCGGGCTGCGAGGTGAGAGGGGAGCCCTAAATCGCAGCGCGGGGCGGAGACGAGGTGCGGAGCCGTAAAACGATCCGTTTGATCCGCTGAGGTCACCGGGGCACGAGCGCTCCGTGACAGCTGTATGCTAATGAAAGGGGCTCGCGCCGCTGCGTCCACGCGAGGCGCCAGTCATTGCGCAGGTGCGGCACGAGCGTGGGGACAGTCTCTCATCTGGACTCGCGTGGGATGCGCGTCTTTCCTTCCCGGTGTCGGAAGCCTGGGTTTATTTGTTTATTTATTTATTTATTTTTAAGTTATTTGTTCTGTTATTGTCGAATTCGAAAATGCTGCTGGATGCCAGTTTGGTAAAGATGAAGATATTTGGCAGGCTGGACTATAACCTGGTAACCTTGTCAGTTTTTATATATGCTTTTTTATTTTATTTTATTTTATTTTATTACCTGGCATCACTCATACAACCTTAATTTTGCATTTTAATGGCAGAACAAAAGTTCAAATGCAAGAATTTGACGAATGCACAGTGGGGCTAAGACATGAAAGTACGCAGTTCATGTGTGAGAATGCCAGATACCAACAGTGTTGTGTGTCTATATCGGTTGATGTTGCTTTGTTTACTTGTTAGTATGTTTCTTCACAACCTAAATGAACATACGTGTAGTGGCTATTTTTAAAATTTTAGGCCTTCTGTGTGCGTCCTGTGTGTGGCCCTTGAATTTATTGGAAATGCCAACAGGTTTGAATGTCTCAGCAGGAAGTCAAACTGTTGTACTGTTTCATCTCAGTTGTACTTTATCTTTCTTTCTGTCTTCTCTCTTTAACAAATAACACTTGCTGTTTCATTTTAACCTCTTTACTTAAGACTTCTTTTAGCAAAATGAACCAAAACACTGAAAAGAGGAACATCTTGGGTAGATAATTATGCAAATACAGATCAAGCAAAATTTAAATCATATTCTCAACCTTTCTACACTTAAAGTAAATCTCATTTGAGTTGAAACAAATGCTATTGCTAGATTTTTGGTGCAGGTTGATTTATAGGCGAAACCATAAAGTTAATTTTTGGATTAGTTGGAAACACAGCACCAAATAGAAATGCTTATTCCACCATGTTTTTTCTTAAAGTGCACTGATCATTTTCACTGAAGAATTAATACAAGTGCTGCTTAAGACCAACACCCAACATGTCCAGTGTAATTGTTCTGAGTTGAACTGTTGGTGCTGCTTCTGATTTAATCAATGTAAAGACTTTTTTAAAAAAGAGAACAAAAGTACACAATGACACCAGTGTGCTGTTAAACAATTTGTGGGGTTTTCTGAAAAAGAATATGCGTGTGTGCTGTCGCCTGCCAGTGTGTGCAGCTCACCATATGCTCAATATTATCTTACCACAAACCAAAGGCCTCACTAACAATAGTGAAACCTAACCTCAGCCTCGGCTTTCATTTAAGTCTGTGTGCTTGTGTTTTTCACTTCGTTGAGCAGGTGGCATCTGGCTTTAAAGGCCTCTCAGCAATTCCAAGACAGATAAGAAAATAGAGAAGGTTTTAGCTGACAGCTTGAGAAGCGCTGACATGATCTTTCCATGTAAACTAATCGCATTGTGGTGAGAACACACGCTGATCTTTGTGGAAGCACACACATACTCACTTCAACAGTAGCAGTGTGCGGCCACAGCTACTCTATGCAGTGCTGATAAGGCCTTATCTTCCGTTGTTATGTTTAGGTGGACTTTAGGCTCATTGTTCTACGATGTCACTTGACCTAATTTTAATGCAGTAGATTCATGGCACTAGTTGTGATTTATAGGCTTGGATGATGCAAGTTGTTGTTGTTTGTAGCACTAGTGTTGTTTTTATGGAGCCTGGCCTGAAGGATAACTTGCAAGTTTATTGACCACTTACTGAAAATATGATCCAACAGTGGAAAGGAAGCCAGATGCTAACAATGAATTCATTTGTTCTTTCTGCAGGATTTTTCCTATGATGACCCCAAATTGGAATTCAATGTGGATGCACCCAATGGTGTGGTCATGGAGGGTTACCTCTTCAAGAGGGCCAGCAATGCTTTCAAGACCTGGAACAGGTAAAGTGAAAGTGAAAACAGAGCAGGGCTCAACTTCTAATTCTGCAATAACAAATGTATATGCAAAACATATTAATGCAACAATAAAAATAAAAAGTTCCTCTGTCAATAGAGATTTAACAGGACTATTGCTATGACCCAAATGGCAGAAGCCTTCATTAGGTTTCAAAACTTTTTATTGCCCATGAGCTCCTTGAATTTTCTGTAGAATGTCTGTGAAAGATTAAAGAGTGAGACAGAACTAACTTTGGCATACAGACATTTGACTCAACATGTTTCTCCCCTAATAATAGTTTAATTTCATACCTTCTGTCCCCTCCAGGCGGTGGTTTTCTATACAAAACAGTCAGCTGGTTTACCAAAAGAAACTCAAGGTACATTTTTGGCTTTTTAATGAACTACTGTTTTATTTTTTTTTAATCATTGTTTTTAAGCTCTTACAAGACTGCGACTGACATTTTATAGCTCTTGAGCCAGTTATTTGTAATTTGCATATTGGCAAAGAAGAATGGGGAAGTGCACTGGCTTGTCTTTCTTGGCACCTATAAGCGCACAAACCTGATTTGTGCTGTTTGTAGTAATGAGTGTCTGTCCTTTCTTCCGATGTCAGGATTCTTTGACGGTGGTGGTTGAGGATCTGAGGTTGTGCTCTGTCAAACCATGTGAAGATAATGAGAGGAGGTTTTGCTTTGAGGTGGTTTCACCCACTAAGTAAGTGTGTTTGTCCTATCAGAATCAAGCTTAATTTAAAAGACTTAAGTCTTTTAGATTTGTACTTTGCTAATAAGCTGTCACATTATTGACTATGTAATTTTGAGTGAACTAAAGTTGAAACATTAACATTAGACAGTTATGGCATCTTATAACTGGCTTCTATAAACCTGCAGGAGCTGCATGCTGCAGGCTGAGTCGGAGAAGCTGCGGCAGGCTTGGATCCAGGCAGTCCAGGCGAGCATCGCTTCTGCCTACAAAGACATCACCGACAACTATTACATTGAGGTACGTACACTTACAGCAACCAACCCAATACTGTGCCACAGAAGCACCCTTTCTTTTCATTACAAATTGTTCCTTTGACATTATTGAATCTTCATCTCTAACCATCTTTGCAGCGTTTGGACCGGACAGCCTCTCCCTCCACCAGCAGCATCGACTCTGCCAGTGAGCCCAGAGAGAGGGGGGAGAGGGCTGATAAGGGAGTTCGGGGAGGAGGAGAAAGCCTCCTGCAGCGGGTGCAGAGCCTGCCAGGCAATGAGCTGTGCAGCGACTGTGGTCAGACGGCGCCCTGCTGGGCCTCTATCAACCTGGGAGTGTTGCTTTGCATCGAGTGCTCAGGGATCCACAGGTAACTGCATGTAACTTGAAAAGAGACTTTGTTCAGTGGTGCAGAGGAAAGCGCCAGTTGAACTGATGTACCTTTTATACCAATCTTTTTTTTAAACCTTTGACTTGGCTCTGTCAGTTTGTTTGGTCGTTTTTGGAAATTAGCCAGCTCCAAGCATCCTTAATAAAACTTTCTAAAACGTTCTTGAAACAACAACAAGTGGGCTAATCATGGAGGTTGCAGCTAGTCTTACCTTCAAAGAATGGAGACTTGTCCTCACACATAAATGACATTTGTCCAATTTAAAATTGTTTTATTTTACACCCCCATGAAATGTGCAATGAAGCATCAAATTCTATTCATGAGGAATGTAGTTCTTTCCCTTGTATGACGGTGTTTGTCAAACACAAGTCCACTTTCCATTACATCATCTCCTCAATCAAAGCTCTACTGTAGACATAAAAGATAAACTAACTTTCAATAAGATATCTGCTAGATTTTGTAAACTTATAAAGGTGTGCAGTATCAGTCTGCAGGAGTCTAAACTGGCTTTAAATTCACCAGCGTGGGTGCTGAAGTAATAAGACAGTGCTGTTTTTTTTAGCTACGCTTTAAAGACCCCCAGAGTCTCTTGAGTGTAGAGAAACAGTCAAAGTTTGCCAGTTGCTTCTGACGTCTGCCACCCAAGGCAGTTTTATTAAAAGTAGTAAAGTAAAAAAATGTGCCAAAATCTTGTGGGTAGATAAAAACTCTTCTTACACTTGACTTACTTTATATACTCTCTTTCTTTTTATTCTTGATTCTTCCAGGAGTTTGGGCGTCCATTGCTCCAAAGTGCGTTCACTGACGTTAGACTCATGGGAGCCAGAGTTACTCAAGGTGCGTCTCCCAAACACATTTGCCTTCAGCTTATCCTGTCTGTGCTGAGCTTTGTCTCCCAACAGAGTTACATTTCTTATTCCTTCAGTGCATTGCTAGTACAGTTTTAATTGCTCCGTTTTAAATATGTTCCTGTTTCTGTCTTTCCCCTCTCCCTCATCTTTGTCACCTTTTATTCTTTCCTCATATTTAGCTGATGTGCGAACTGGGGAACACTGTGATCAACCAGATTTATGAGGGAGGCTGTGAGGAGCTGGGAGCCAAAAAGCCTGGACCCTCCAGTTCAAGGTCAGTCTTAATCCAGCAGCAGGATTTGGCAATAGGTTTAAAGCTGCTATAAAATCAGTTAGGTACATTTTTTTTTTTAAGTCTTTCAGGGTCCACTGTCATGATTTACTGCAGAACTAAAGAATATACAGATAACTGGGCTATGTTGTCTTATGTGAACAATGCTTGTGATCATCTCCCTCCAGACAAGAGAAAGAGTCCTGGATCAAGTCTAAATATGTGGAGAAACGCTTCCTGAAGAAGATGAGTGGGAGTGAGGCATTGGTGGAGGGTGAAAGGAAGTCCCGGCCCTGGACGGTGAAGAAGTGCCAGCGACACAACAGCTCTGTCCGAGCTCCCAACAAGGCCCGCAGGAAATACCACCGCTATGAACCTGGCAGCGCTTCACCTGCAAACCTCTCAGCCGGTCAGAGCAGAGAATTGACTTTAATGTAGCCAAAATACCTACATAGAGATTGTACCAATATGTGCTTAAGCCCAGCTTGAAATCTTGTCCTGGTCTTTTGTCCTTCTGCAGCAGCAGCAGCAAAGTTTCGCCGGGACTCGCTGTTCTGCCCAGATGAGCTGGACTCACTGTTTTCCTACTTTGACACTGGCTCTGGTCCTCGCAGTAAGTTCACTACGCAATTAGTTCACACAGGTACAATGTATGTGCAAGATTATTGTAGATACTTGGAAAGATTTAAGTAAGAGCGACTTACTGTGAAAAAAATAACTGAAATCGAAATTTTTTTTGACTAACGATGTAAACCTACCAGTGATGGTGGTGTGTGTTTGTGTAGCGCAGTCTGTGCTGTGTAATGATTAACGTGTCCGTGGCTTGGCGATGCTTGGCCCTGCAGGTCTTAGCAGTGACAGTGGACTGGGAGGAAGTACTGACGGCAGCACAGATATCCTGGTTTTTGGCTCAGTGGTGGACAGTGTAACAGAGGAAGGTATGTGTGCTTGTAGGTTGATGGCAGAATATCTTCAGGTGTTTTTATGGTTATGGAGAGCGCTGAGAGGTGTACTATGAAGCAAGATTATTTAAGCTAGCGAGGCATGTTAAGACTAAAGCCAGAGTTTTTGGTAGTTTCAGAGTTTGGGATTTAAATCAGCTGTAAGAAGCGCCACCCGTTCACCTATTCTCTTCATGACGATTCTGTCTGATGAATATAGATTCTTATCTGAGGGAGTATATTATATCTGCAAACCTGTTAAGATGCTAATCCCGCTGAACAAAGCTGTGTAGTTGCAGTAGCATGACCCTACAGGCATTCAGTTTGTGATGCAGAAAATGTCTAATCATGTTTTAAGCATTGGTCCTGATTTACTGCTGAGTTTGTTTTACACCGCTGGTACTGCAGCTAATAGACCACAGATTAGAAAACTGATCAGTCTATTAGTAATTTCACAGAGAATATTCAATTAATAACAGTAATTTCACTTTGATTTGGCCAAAAACCGAAGTGATTTCCATGTACCTTTTTTTTTAGAACCTAAATGCACATCTTGTTGAAATGTAAAGTTTAAAAACTCTAATGTGCAGTTGTCATGTTAGAAATAAGCAGCAGCCATTGAGAGTGCATTGAGTAACATGCATATTAACTGACATGATTTCTACCACCATTCCCCTCTTGTAACATTTGCAGTGACAGTGCTGCTTTTTACCGCAATTTTACCGTATGCCTTGCAGCTCTCCGTTATAACAACCTGTTTATCTTGACTGAAGTAGGCAGCTATTGGTCCGTTTTTGTATGGAAGAAGAATCGCATGAAACGTCAAACACCCCCTTACATGGGAGCACACTTAGAGCTTGATGGGAAAAAAATTTAGTTAGCAAAGAAAGTTGATATTTACCATCATAGCCATTATCTCTGACTACAGTTTTAGGTTTTATTGAGACAGATAATGTGACGAAAGCCTGGCTTGGTCAAACTTGCTTCATGGTACACCCCTCTAGTGACACTACGTTCTAGTATATTCTGTCACATGTACTTCCATTAGATTTTGTGATTTTTTTTTTTTTCTAAATATCAAAACCTGAAGCTGACTGCCACACCAAACAAAACAAAAAAGTGAAAATGAAACTGTCACCATGTGATGACATATTTCATGTAAAGGATAGGGGCAGCCTCAGCAACTATCAGAAAATGTAATTATCCCTCAAGTGAAAATCTGTTCAGAGAGTTTTATAAAATATAATTTACAGTGTCATCGCCTTTGTCCCGTTAAATTTCTCACCCACAGAGGAAGAGTCGGAGGAGTCCTCCAGTGGTGAGGTGGAGATTGAACAGGAAGTGTCTTCGGACCCTGAAGACCCGAGGGAGCTGCACCCCGGGGCACTCCTCCACCGATCCTCCCGTCTCCACAACCTGCCACTCATGGCGGAGGCGCTGGCCCACGGTGCTGACGTACATGCTGCGAGTGAGGAGGGGAAGACGCCGCTTATTCAGGCTGTGATCGGGGTGAGAGACCAAATCAATCAGTCAATCAACGATTAATCTGCTTTCTTACAGTTGAATGAAAGCAGCTTTGCTGTTTAATCGTCATGTTTGAGTGAATGTAATGAGTTTATTTAAGTTGGTATATATGAACGGCTATAAATATTGTCACTTGTCATCAGCTGCATGACTCTCCCTCCTCTTGAGGTGGCGCAAACTCTTTGACACTAAACCATCTAAGAAAACCTGACTTCAGTGACCAATAACTACATTTCACATAGAAAATAAACTAAACACCTCTTTCTATTTGTCTGTCTGTCTCTCTGACAGGGCTCCTTGATAGCTTGTGAGTTCTTGCTACAGAATGGGGCGGATGTGAATCAGAGAGACATGAGAGGCAGAGGCCCTCTGCATCATGCTACATACCTGGGACACACTGGGTAAGAAGGTCCTGGGGGAGAAACAGGTTATGACATGTCTCAATCCACAGTCTCTGTCTCATGGCCATGTTCCATTCTGGGACAGTCTTGTGAAATTATAAATGTCATGTCAATTACCTGCACATGTGCTGAACGTGTTGGTGTTACATCACCCTAAGACGAGTTCAGCAAAATATGTCCGGGAGTAGTTCTTGTTCCAAACGTTTTGTGAGATTTTAAGATTTAAAAAAAGTGAAGACTGCCAAGAATATGCTATTTACATGGAAGAACCTACATTCTCATGACACATGTTCTTCCCAGCATCGTAAGTAATCATGTTCCAAAAGGTCACATCTGCAGGTGGGGATTAAAAGTCACTGCCTACAAAAATCAGTGAATGGCAGATCAGTCAGTTTTTCAGCTTCTAAACACGTGCTATTTATTACATAACATATTACATATTGCATTCACAAGTAATATACAAAATCTTTCCTATTTTGGTATACATCATTGTATTAAGCTCTTTATTTTTTGTCTGCGTCTTGGTTTGTGCAGTCAGGTGTGTCTGTTCCTGAAGAGAGGAGCATCGCAGACGGAGGTGGATGAGCAGGGTCATGATCCTCTTAGCATCGCTGTCCAGGCTGCCAATGCAGACATCGTCACCCTGTAAGACATTCTCATTCTACTGTGTCGCCCAGTTTCTAATTAACATTCACACATTGTCAGCAATTTGTGTTGGAAAGTGTTGGTTGAAATTACTTTGTGACAAATTAAAAGTAGTTAATGGAAAAGGACAAAGCGCTTCTGCTTTTTAAAATCTTTTTGTTGAACAAGAAATAGACTTCCCCAAAGGTCACCTAAACATTGCTTTTAATTTAATTTATTCTGTCAATTTAACCTTCTGATCCCCAAGCAGTTTCTGGCTGTTTTTTTGCTCCTGTCACATTTTTTTTATTCACAGTAAGGTAATTTTTTATTGCAATATAAAGTCCTGCACTTGTATCGAAACAGCACAACCATGGCTTCAAGTTCAGAGAGCTCACATCGCGACTCTACATACTATATGTATTTTCCTACATGCATTTTTCATTTGTTTCCATACTCGTCTCCTATCTGCTAAATGTGCCTGCAGTTTGTCCCAGTTCAACTGAAAAGTCCCTGAATTTTTATCATGTTAGATCACACCTAAGTCAGTCATAGCGTACCAGTTGCACTGAGAAGCACAGAATTTTGGATTTTTACAGAATCTGTAAAATGCAAATGGTTTCATTTAAAATGATCCATGGGTAAAAAGGGATGTTGATAAACTATCACAATTTGGATTATTTCCTGGTGGAACAGCATGCCACAAATGGGTAGCTCAAGGATCGTCTGAAAGTTTAAAATCTAATGTTTTTTACTGTTTTCACAGTTTCTAGCTCTAATAAATGGTATAATTTGTATTATTTTTAAAAATGACATGCCTTTCAAACGTACAGGAAAGTTTGTGGTTTCAGAAGGTTAAGATATGAGGGACACTGAGTGCCATTTGTGGCATTAATCTATGTGACTAAAGCATTTGACTACACCAGACTGTGGTTTTATACAAAAGGTCACTTGGACTGTAGCATGATTAAACAAAACATTCATGTGTCTCTGCTATCTGCAAATGAAGACCAGCAGATGTAGAGTAATGTCATTCAAATCTACAAAACAAGCTTATGAGTTGTAATTGTTGTGATTTCATTATTTTGTTCTGCTATTATGAAAGCTGGTGATTTCTCATAGATGCTGACATATACTCTCTGTTTTCCTTCCTCCCTTCTCTTATCCTCTTCTTTTCCATCTTTCCTCACTGCTCTTTATCACCTCATCACTGGGCTTCTCCAACATCATCATCACAATCCTTTCGCTCCCTTTTTATGTTTATCTTTTGGCACCTCTCTTTCATCTTTTATATGATTCTATCCCCCTGCCTCTCCCCTTCTCAACTGTCTCCTCCAGGTTGCGTCTAGCACGGATGAATGAGGAGATGCGAGAGGCGGAAGCTCCATTGGGTCAACCAGGTCAATACCCCAGCAGCAGCCCCACTGAGCAGCAGTATAGGAAGTGCATCCAGGAATTCATCTGCCTCACCATAGACGAATGCTAGTTGTCACTTCTGTACCCGGGAGCATAGCTCTATTTATATTCCTGTTCCTCCTGACTGAGAACCTAAAATAATCACGTAGAAGTTGCCCCTAGACACTGATCTCAAGGCTGTTACTTACGTAGATCTAGGCTTACAGGCAACTTCTTCTAAGTCTGAGGAGAGCGCGACTCTGTGGGACACTACATGTCATAGGGAGACCCCTGATGGACCTTTCTAACTCTACTGACAATACAGTCACCACCTTCATTTTCCTGCATCACTACTATGTTTCTGCTTGCCAATACTTGGCGCCACCCATGCTATGCTAGCTACACGACACACACAGTAAAATGACATTTGCTATTTGGTGTTTTGCTAACAGGGTTATCGTCTAACTTATCATAACATGGTGTTAAATCCTGTGTGAGGGTGTGGGTTTACTGTTGCCTAACAGCTCTTACCTCTGAAGAATCACGCTGCATAAACCCTCTACACTTTATATCTATCCAGACCATCTGTGTGACATCCAACTTACTCATCTCTTCTTGACCAGAGATGTAAATATTACATATATAGAAGTTTAGAAACTGTGTACTGTGGCATGAGGTGAAAAAATGGTATTTGTTCCATTACTAAAAGAAAAAGAGTAACTGACAAGCTACAGTAGAGGTGGGCAGGGTAGTTTACTGTGTATAAAGAAGGGTCAGGAAGGGAAATTAAATGTAAAACTGTGACAAAAAATACTGAAGGGCTTGTGGGGAAGAGACCCTCGCCTGCTTTGTAAGATACTTTGTGATGTGATGGGTGAGTGAGTGAAAAGGAGCGTAAATGAGTGCATGTGTTAAAGAATACTGAGAGACAGAGTTAAATAATATGATATGATACAATATGTAAAGAAAAAAAAGAAACTGTGCACTTTTCCCATATACAGTATTATAATTTTCTTTATTTTCAGTTAGTTTTTACATTGGTCTTGTCTAGTCAAGGTATTGTCTATCTATTGTCTATTTTAATTGTGTCTTTTTTATTTATGTTTATCTCCCCAGAGGACCAGTGCAATGCATTCTTGGATGCAGTTTTTTTATCTGCATTTCTGTTAATGATTGTCATTTTAATCTAAAAGCATTACCTGGAATTTACGACAGAAGTCTTTAGATGGCATCATGTAATCGCGCTCATAAAAGACGTATAGCTTTTGTTTTCACTTTAGAATGGCCTTAGATTGCTATGAGTACATTATTGGCTATCAAACATCCCACTGTTTGTTAGATTTCGCAGGCTTGTCTATAGAAACTGTAGGTACAATGAATAAATGATGAACTTGAAGTGATGTATTGGTGGAGAACTGGCTAGGTTGTAAAGGTCATGTGCAGACAAACCAGATTAGCAAGTCTTGCAGTGCAGTGAGGGAGTGTAAAACTGGATTTACATCTCACCTTCACAGAATTCTTCTGTTCACTGCCATTTACAGAGGAGAGGTGACTCGAGTTTTCCTGTATATACTCATCCATCTTACACTATCTATGGTGGGATCATGGAGCACATTTCTTTCTAACAGTTTAAACACTTGCGTGGTCAAAGGACTTGTGTATCTGGCTTCCCTCGCTGGTCAGTGCTAACAGAATTCCCTGTATGCTTTGCCAGAATTGTTCTTGGGAAGTTCAATATTGTTTGCATTCTGAGCATGATGAAATATTTTTCTATTGTTTAATCACATTGTGCAGTGCAGTCCTGTGGAATAAGCATGTACCAACATGACCCGTCTGGTGTCAGAAGTTTCTTCCTTTTTGCACCTCTGTGCCATTCTTTCATCCGCAGAACAACTCTGTGGTGACTTCTTCTTTTTCTGTCAACAGTAGTTTCAATTATTTTTTTAATGTTGTGGTTTTATTTTCCTCTGCCAAAGACTTTTTTAAAGGGAAAGTGTCTGACACTGTTGTATAACATCTATGGTTTTTTTAAAAACTGAAATTGTTCAGAGTAGAGAACAGCATAGTCTTACCATCCTTTCTGAAGTGACAGAGTGGTAGAAACACTGTTGGTGTGCTCACATGTTCAGAAGTGGTTACAGAGATGTGACTTATCTGATAGATGCAATAGTTCAATGTACTGCAAGTAGAACCAGTCTAGGGGGTGATGTGAAGCTACTGTGACCAAACTGTTAAGGGCCGTCGCCCTCGCGGAAGTATTAAATGTTGTGTCCATTGTGTGTATTGACTTAAGAGTGGTTAAAGGTGCTGTTCAAAGCAAACATGCTGTAAATAGTACACTTGTGTATTTTAACTCAATGCCAACTGCCTGCCTCTCAGCATTCTATCACAGATCCTGACTGTCTGGTCTGTTTTATGTTTGTCTTTTTATTATCTTCCAAAAAAACAACCTGTCAGCAAGAACTGTAACACAGTTCTGAACTACTTGGAGGCGTTCTTCTGTTTACTGACATTTGGATATCTTTGGAATACTTTCTTCCTTGTCTTTAGAAGCACTAAGGGAAAACAAACAAAATGCATACAATAAAACTGAGAAAGTCTTGATGAACTAACCCTGCTTCCTGCTTGTTGCTCTCATTACTTTTCCCTGTCTCGTCTCTTCTGTGTAACATTCTCCCAACATTGCAGTTTACAAAACGTAGTTGTTGTAAATGAAAATTATGATATTTTTAATTCATACATATCTAGCTGTATTTACACATTCTCTGATGTTGGGAGAATGCTATTTTTTACAACCTGATCTGATGTGTTCTGGTGATTGACAAACCTTTGGGTAGCACTTGGCTTATTCAAAGCAATAAAGCAGTTATTTTCATGTTAACAAATGTAAGTGAGGTGAACACATGAACACCTCCAGACTGCCAGCGCACTATTTAAAGACCACTTTAGGGTCTTATGGGTATTAAACAGTCCTTCAGCTTCCAGCCTGCAGCAGCAACACTGTGCCTTGAATAATTCAGTGTCTCCAGTGTGTTAAACATTTATGCGACCTCACAAACATTATTACACCGTCACAGAACAATGTTCTCACATGCCAGAAATGTCTTTATTCCTCAGCTTACACCAAAGGCAAACAACCCATGTCCACTCGAGGAAATAAACACTGACTGATGTATCATTGCTTCTGTTACCACAGGGGTTGCCACCAGCAGCGGCAGAGTTAAACCCAAGGATGTTCGGGATAGAGTGAGTGAAGCATCCTGGGTCCTGTCACTGGCAGACTAGTGTGATACTGTGATTCTTTCTGCTCTGGTGGTTGTGGGTGATCTTTAAGGTGTCTTGGTCTGTCTTCCCTGTTTGTTGAAGGTGCTGTCTGGGAAAATACTGGGAGCTGTGTGAATCTTATAGCTCTCCTTTTTAAATAAGCTATTTGAAAGTAAATCTTCTAAGCAGGAACATTGTGTTCATAAAGGATGTCCTCGGACAGCTGTGATGGAGAATTTATAAAAAAATTTAAACATTTACACGTCATAGTTTGACCTAATACTGAAATCAACAGCCATTCAATGAGAGTTAAAACAAATGGGCAAGCATAATACACTTCCCATTAGGAACTGTGTGTGACACAGGATAACAGGAGTGAAATGGACAGGATGCTCACCACTACTTCCCTGTTAATACCTCATTTGTTTACAAGCTATTAAAGAGTCTCATTCAGGAGAGTATAAATGTAATTTAGAGCTACAGTATTAAGCAACTGGACTTCTATTTTGGTTTTTTGGTTTTTTTTAATATGATTGAGCTGTCATTCAAGAGGCTTACTCAGTTGTAACTCACAGATGGGAAGATATATATTGCAACATCTGACCCACATGGCTCATGGTTCATAAATGACCAAAGACTAATATGCCCTGGGGTGGAAACTGTAAAGTCTGGGATTACTCAAAATATGAATAGGTGTGAAACATTCTGGGGACTCAAGACTGCACTGCAAGTGATTGATTGGTGGTGTTGTCAACTCCCTCCTCTGTTGTGTTGAGTCTTGTCCAGGAGTGCTGGTTCTCCTGTGTTGAGCCAGTTGTTTAGTCTCCTCTATATACAGGTCTGTGAACTCCTAGCTGCATTAGATTGCAGGAACAGCATTACCCAACTTGTGTGTGGGTGTTTTATCATTCATGTGAAGCTATCTACATTCACACCTCGTGGCCTATGAGTCTTGGGTTGGTAATTGGTCATTAGCCAAGTGCAAATATAAATCTAAAACTTTCCATTAGTCAGTTCTAAAGAAGCCTCTTGGATGAAGGTGAAACGTCTTAAAAACAAAGAGAAATCCAGTTGCCTTTAACTGGAGCTGTGAGGTTTATCAAGGATGAGTCAGAGTCAACTAAGAGGAGAGAACAAAGAATTTAATTCTGTCTATCTTGAACTGCTGAACAAGATACAGGAGCTCCATTGTGAGGCTATGCTTTGGGGACTTTGCTTTTTCGTGGGTTCATAAAGCAAAGGTTCATCTCCTCTTTTTTTTCCTGATTATTGGAATGTGGGTTTTTAGAGTGCAGTGTTTGGTGGCTATACCCGCCTGTATGTCTTGCATTGGTAAGGCTCAAATCACACATCTGTCAGTCTCCATGGAGCCCTGCAGAGGGACAAACCCTTTGACTTCAGTATCCCCTGTTACAGGTAACGTCTCCTGTGTTGATGTCTTTCGCGAGTTTTCTGTCCTCGCGTCTCTCCAGCCCGAGAAGTTGAGGAGAAGGAGCACACAGTTCAGCCGCTACAAGAAGCCATCGTGACTACTGCTGACCGTTGCTTCATCTGAACACACTTCAGTGACTTTGGAATGAAAAGAGAAGATATTAAAAAAAAAGACATTTTGATGCTGGAGAGGATAAGAAAACAAAACCCAGCAGGCACTAGTCAAAACTATTATATAACAAGTTTTCAATTGTTCTCAATTGCTTTTGTAAATATAATTGGATGGTAGACTTTAGTTATTTCATAATGTTGCACTTTTGTTGTTTCAGTTGACCTGATTCCAGTTTAGTTAATGACAGTGCATTAGCAGCAGAGCCATCATAACATGTTAGTAGGTCTGCAGACTTGCATTGACAATAAAGAGACACATTACAAACAGCATCTTTAAAACTGAAGTAGCAGGAGTGCTCCAGTTCCCAATGGACTGGATTCTACTTTCACTTTATGTTCTCTAAAACTGTAACCTCCAGGGTGAAGTCAAAGTAACCCTGATGATGATGATTAGGTTTATTTATTAGACATTAAGTAAATGTTTTCTTGTGCTTGATCATACTCTCTGTGACGAGTAAACTAAACTCAATGTTTAAAATCAGCAAAGTAGTCTTTTGATGTTTGCTCATAGATTTATTTAATCAACTGCAAATCTCTAAAGAAATGATTTTCAAACTGTTTTGGAGCTGGTTTCAGAAATACAATAAATAGCCTTAAGTGAAAGAGCTCTTGTGGAATGTTTTTGTGCATCTCAGTCTGTTTTTTTTTTTTTTGTTTTGTTTTGCTTTTTTAAAATGCAACAAGAAACTTTATGCAGCAACATATAGCACCAAGTTGGAGTTGAGAAAAAAACAAGATCCTCACAGCCAACACAGATGACTTTGTAGTGTGTAAAGCATCACTTGGTGGTTGACAACAAATGTAAGTATAGTTCCGATGATTCTAAAGAAAGACAGCCTGGGGAAACCATATTTATTAGACAGTACAGGTCTTTTTATGATAATTAGAACTAGACATAATATTCCGGATCAGCTGGTGACAGCACAGCCCTCACTGAGTCATTTTGAGCAGCTTTAACACTGATGAAGAAGAAACGCGGAAGCGTAATGTTTCCTCCTGCTGGCGATAGCTAAAGCTACGTTGGTGTCATCGTCTTATCGGTTTGGGGTTTGACAACAGAAACAACACCCTTATTTCGTGTCCAGCCACGAATACCTATTTCCACTGGGGTCTCTGGAGAGGTACGTCTATTGTACACGCCTTCTGGTTAGGAAATGCGAGAGATGTCGGGGTCAGCTCCCGTTAGTAACAGAACTGTTCGTGCTAGCCGCTGCTAACGCTAGCTAGCTAAACATAGTTAGCAGTGGCCTACGTGAGCTAACGTTAGCTAACGGATAACATTAGCTCCCGTAGGCCACTGCTAACTATGTTTAGCTACAATAGACACTTAGACGGGACTTGTTACCGGCTGTACCTGCTAGCTTTATCCAAGTTACCGTGTCAAGTTAGCTGACTGAACTGATAATGTGATTCTTTTAAAAGCCGCCAGGCCACATGTGATCCAATTATACAGTGTGCAGTTTGTATGTGATGTTTGTTTACAGTCTGAGGTTCAGTACCGTTCCGAACTATTCTATCTGTTCAGGTAGCCAGAGATTTAACATTAGCTTAGCTTGCTAAGTAGCGGATTAGCCTCAGCTACATAAGTTGCGTTAAGTAGCCTCCTGTTTATTAGGAAGTGAAACTGACTTCATTTCGACACTGTTCCAACCCACGCACAGCTCTTTACTTGTCAGCTGTTATCCACGGGACAGTAGGTCGGCAGGCAGTGGTGCAGTTTCCTACTTTTGTGTTCAATAGACTGACAGATGGGCAGACAGTTGAAAGTACATTCGAACCATTAGCACGTTACGTGTTTACAGTTACCGTCTTAACAATTGAAGTCCACTGCTCTTGACATGTTTACTTTTTCAGAATCAGCCTTGTTGGTTCAAGTATGCGTTACGCACACAAGGTATCAAGGATTATGATTCCGGGTTCTTTGTTCTCAAAGTACTGATACAAAAACACACATGCATTTAAACAAGGGCAACAGGTTAAAGTAATAAGAAATGGTCTTTAACTGCTACGTGCAGCTTCAGATGTGTGCAAAAGAGCATGTTTAACGGGAACCAAAGGTTACGTGCAAACTGGGCTGATGCTAATGAAATGGATAAATACTGGATTATTGCCACTTTTTACATGAAGTAGGTGCAACATAGTGCAATGGAGACGAGATCCAAGTTGATTTATTGTAATGAAATGTTGCCATGGCAAGATAATGTGCATCAAGGACCATAAAACCCTTCAACATGTTTTACATAGGATGTCGAAGAAAATTAAGACCAAACCAAATCAGAAGCATGAGGGAATGTTGAATAGAAGAATATAGTGAAATGTAAAATAAGAAACTGAGATGTAAAAAAGCAGAGCAAAGGTTACAGTGCCGTTGTTGTACAGTGAGAGATGTCGTCAAATAGTTTTAAATTTGGGGTTCTTACTAGACACATTCATTTGACAGTCTCATTGCAAAGCTCCAAGCAAAACAGAAGATGAGTTCGATATGTGTTAGAATGATCTACCAGCAGCCAAGTTAGAGCTATAACTACCTGAGTCCACAACTAGCTGCAAGCTCCAAAAGCTACAGTTGTCCAGAACTTATCCACTACATCTGCTGTCACGCTCACGGCTGACGAGTGGACATCTAGAGCTACTACGAGTTGCTCGACAGCAGTGGCACAGTTCAAGTCGTTCATTTTCTAAATACTACACTGTAATGGATTTTGTGGATTACTTGAGAGAATATTTGTGTTTCACAGTCTGAGAGTGAAGCTGAAAGCTGCTAAATTGAATAGAGACAGATCACAGATTAAACAGTTAATTGCTGGACCTTAATGGATTTTTATTTTATTATTTTGTATTTATTTACAAGAATATTTGTGTTTATTTATTTATTATGTATTTTTACTTTCTTTACTGGTGGGGTTTTTAAGGAAAAATACAGCTAAAATAAATCAGCATTTATTAAATAAAAGAAAAATGTATCTGTTTAATTTGATGTATTTCTTGTTTTCATTGAATGAACCAATAACTTACCAAACTGGCACCTCACAACCGAGTTATGCACCGAATTGTGATTTGTGCACTGTGTAGTCTAGATAGTCCACAGAACTTGCTGTCAGCAGTTTTAATTGAGAAAAAACATCTGGCACAGTCACTGCATCACAGCAGTACTGTGGTAAGATAACCCCAGTTAACATCAGGTTAAAAAAAAAAGAAAAAAGAATCCAGTCTCTGCCAAGCACTCACCCTCAACTGACAGTCAGGTAACAGTACCGGCTGCAGACAAAGTTTTCTGATCTTCTCTGAAGCTGCAGTTAAATTTTCCAGGCAAAGCACTCAGTTGTTGCTTTACAGTTATAGCGTTCCACCAGTACGTGTGATGCTACCACAATATGTTGTTCTTAACTATGGCCAGAAATTCTGATATTGATGTATCATGACAGCTTTGTAACTGTTGAGGTAATTATCGGTAAAATAAAAAATACATCTTTCAAAGCTCAACAATGACAAATGTGGTGCGTTTGTTTATACTTTAAAAATTAACCAAATATCAATTCAAAAGAAGCAGTGTACATAATCTGAGTATGTTAAAGACACATACACTGTCCCATAACTCAAATATAAAAACTGAGTTTAAGTCCAAGTTGTTGCCAAGTGGAATATTTCCAGAGTTGTCCACAGTAAAGGAAGGATATGCTTTGACCTAGTATTGTGAGGGAATATATCCTGAGAGCAGTGCCAGTGCTTAAATAACAATTAAGGACAGAGGTTCATTTCAGTATCTCCCTTTTGCATGTCCTTTAATTCTTCAGATGAACAACAACGGGAATAAGAGAGCTCCAACTACAGCCACTCAGCGACTTAAGCAGGATTACCTCAGGATAAAGAAAGACCCTGTGCCTTACATCTGTGCAGAACCTCTCCCCTCCAACATCCTAGAATGGTAAGGCCTCCCGCCTGGCAGGATTTATCATCGTACTCGTGACTTGGACTCTTTTGTGTTCTTAGCAGAGTTTTCAAACCAGTGAACAGTCAGTATTATTACAGTTATGACATCTACATATTTGTGATTGCTTGAAAACAGGTTGCATTTTTGCAAAACTATTTTTCAAGTTAACTAAAAACAATATTTACAGTCCAACAAACACTTTAGTTTTAACAATTTCTTTTACTTTATTCTACAAGAGGAATTTACATTATAATGTCAGCATTTTTACATCTTATGGCTGTGTGAGACAAACAAATTCAACAAGTTATCTCTCTTTCTCATTCCATCTAGTGTCTGCATTTTTTCATAAAATAGTGGATATATTCATGCTTTAGGCCTCCTCTGTAAAAGATAGATTCTTTGCACTAATTATCACTTCTTAAAAAATATTTTAACATATTTCCTGCAGCATTTAGCTGTCGGCACAGTTATAATTATATATGTCTATGTTTCAAGATAGCTGTCTTTGACACTGAGTACTACCCACTGCAACAGTTACATGCAATAATTCAACAATGATGCAGTTTTCCAGATTTAGTGTTGACAGCACACACTGTCAGCTGTGTCCACGGGCGACTTCTTTGTCAGAAAGTAGTCCAAATAAAAATTCCTCACAGTGTGTTCTTTTGCATATCCACAGTAACTAGTTGTGTTTTTTCAGTTTCTTTTTATAGCTGTGAGGGAGAAGTCTCAGTGACTTATTTCTGAAAGCCTTGACTTGTAGCACCAAAAGAAATCACACCAAATATCACTAGAGGTGGTCAGAAAAACAAAAGAAAACATTTAGGTGCGTGAATATATTACAGTACAGATTTTTAGAATAAATAAAACTAATATTAAAAGTCGTAATTAATGGGTAGCAGTTTCTTTTCCAGGAAAAATTGTTGTTGCAGTGTGTAGATGTTTATTAAGGATATTATGTAACTTCAATCAGGGCATGTTACCTTATGAAAGATGTCACATGTTACCAACATGATTTATTCCTTCCTCCATTCCTGTTGTGATTTGGATCAAACAGGTTTTTCATTTGCATATTCCTGTACCTGCCAGCTATGCCTTAATTATACCTATACCATCATAAATTCTGATATTGTTTTTTTCTTAGAAAAGCATGTGCTTACTGTAATATACCCTTAGTTCTCAGGAAAGATTTAAAATGGAAAACATTTGTTTTTGTGGGCTGAAAACATGTCATAGTATATGTTTTGATATTTGAAAAAAATATAGGCTGTGTCCGAAATCACGCCCTATGCCCTATATAGTGCACTATATAGGGTGTACGCCATTTTGTAGGGGTGTCCGAATGTTAAGTTTTGTTAATGTTAATGTTACACCCTAGTGCACTCAAAATATCCCACAATGCACCGTGAAAAGTAGTGTACAGCCGATGGTCACGAACTAAACAATATGGACCGTCATGCATTGCGCGAAAGGAAATGGAAACTAGGCGAACGAGAGCGCAAAAAATTCTGGTAACACTTTATAATAACTATCCGTTATAACTAGTTAATAGATCATTTGTAAACTGTTAATTAGTGAGTTATTAACCACTTGTTAAGTGTTTGTTAATAGTTTGTTGATGATTTATAACGATGCCTTATAGATAGTTAATAAACATTTACAAACTGTTAGTTAATGAGTTATAAATGACTTGTTAACTATATATTAATGATTTACAGCCATACCTTATAAACCAGTCATAGATCATGAACAAGCCATTAGTGAATTACTTACTAATGACTTGTTAAGTATCAGTTAATAGTTTATATATGTTATTGGGACGTTATTCTAAAGTTGAAACTATTCCTCATTTATT